AACTTGAAATTTTATCCGTATCTGAACTTTTTTTCTGATCGACATTGTATAGTCAATAATACTTATCAGAAATTCATAAATCATCTCATAATCATAGATATGAATAAATTGTTTCGATTGAGTGTATATGGAAGAAGCGTACTGCTATTGAACAAAACCATATCTTTAATTTTTTTCCGTGTACGGGACAAACGGGATTCGGGACATAGAAAAGTTTGTCCCGCAGATCTCTACGCAACACACAATCTTGCATCGATGTTAAAGAAAGAAAAGAATTCTCTTTCGAATATTGGAAATTTCCGTTTACTATTTTTTTTTTTGAATTTCAATATTTACCTCAATAAGCGGCGTTGTTTCTGAACAGCTGTCAACAAATGTTGATAAAGTTTCATCGACATTTGAACTATATGGTAATGTACGTAATTTAGATATTTCATCTCTTATTTCATATTTATAACAAATATCAATTAATGTTTCATATAATTCTTTTAACTAGAAAATTTAAAAAGAGAAAAAAAAAATTATTAAAAACAAAATTTTTAAAATATTTTTTTATTTACTTCATTAGAAGTTGTTTGTGTTTGAAGATATTGAATTGCTTGACGAATTGGTCGTGTAAAAATTAAATGAAAACGATGAGCATCTATACATAGATTACATTTCGAAAATATTTTAAGTAATGTATTATATTCCTAAACATATAAATGCATTAAAATTACCAAAAAAATAAACAATTCTATAACAAACCATTGCCGCTTTTGTTGAATTTGAAGAATCAATATATTCAAATTGTAAACGAATATTTTGTAAGCCATTTTGTGCAATAAACTATAAGGAACTCGTCGAACTTATTTTCTTAGATCTTTATTTTGAAAAAAACTTACACGTTGAATAAGCGATCGAAGCCAACCAAAAGTTTCATTACCAATATTTTCACGTAAGAAAAATTCATCTTTTAATGTATATACACGTCGTAATGGTAAAGGTTCATGTTTATGTTTTTGGGAGAACGCTGTGGTCGTATCAAACGTCTAAATAATTGTTTTAAAAAGATTAATACTTTAGAAAGAAAAAAAAAACATCTGAACTAACTAGAGCAAGTGTATCTAATAATTTTATTGGTACAGGTGGATAACGAAGACGTGTACCAATTAAATCAATAAATAATTCAAGCATTTCAAATATTCCGCATTGAACTTCACGTGACCATGAAAAAACTGATTTAGTAGTTTGTAACTAAAATTTATTGAAATTAATATAAATAGAGTCATTTTTTTAATAATATTTACTTTGTAAAGTGCATCCGGTAAAATATTTTCAATAAATCGTTTACAATCAGCATTATCTTCAAGTTTGCCTTTGAAAAACGAACGTATAGTAAAAAAGTTATTTTTTTATTATTTTGAATACCTTCTTCTGCTATTTGAATTGCTGCCGTAAGACAAAGGCCTAATGCTTCATCTTGTTTAACTGGTATATACCATTTTTCAGCAAGAACTTTATCTTGAAGTAATTGTAATTTATCAATAGGAAAAGCCATTTTTTTAATCGGTTTTTCGATATGATATATTCCATTAAATATATGTTTATCATCAATATAGACAACAAGTGTTAAAGATTTAATACCATGATCTTGTGCATACTAAATAAAAATTTGTTTATATTGATTCAATCAATAAAAACGAACAAAAATTTCTGTCTATTTACTTTAACATTTAAATCAAAGTTATCTTTGGTTTGTATACAAATTTCTTCGTCTTCTTCATCAATTAAACATATCTTGACTTTGCTTGTTGGACCTTGACATAAAAATTGAGTCTACAAAAAAAAAAAAATATCAATTGAAATATTTTTGTATCTATAGATTAATCAAAGATATTAATTTACATATTGAATTAATCCATTCCAATCAATCACTTCAACAGGAGGTTGTTTATCCTTATCAGGATTTGTATCTACTTGATCGGACGACATATTAATAATTTAAATAAAAAACTTGAAAAATGAATATCTAAAAAACGTCATTGTATTTATATCAAATAACTTACGAAAATTTTATTAAGAAATGTCGACAAAAAAATGAGTAATAGTCGTTGCAAGCACGCGCTTTACAAAATGAATCTCTTATTGTGCAAGTAAAAATAAATATATACCCACTGGTGAAGAACGAAAGAAAAAAAGTGAAAATAAAAAATAAGTAGGAGAATAATAAAAATAGCAGTAGTCTAGAGCGCTACCATCTATTCTCGAATCATATGGAAGTTTCATAGAAGAGAAAAAAAACGGTACAATCAACATTACTTCATACAAAATTTTTGCCAATCTCTAAACTTGTTTTTTTGAAATAATAGAATAATGAAAAAAAAAACTTTCTTGCACATAGAAAAAAAATTTGTTTCGAGAGAAAAAGGTCATGAATTCTTTTTCCCTTCTAGACAAAAAAAAAAACAATATTTAAAAAAATGCCTGTTGCTCATTACAATCTAATTTATCACTTATCTGTTAATATTAAATTGATATGCTTTAAAAAAAAACTAATATAATCTAAAAAGAAAAAAAATATTAACTTTTCAGAAAAAAAATTCTTTTTTTTTTTTTCTTTAAATTGATGTTATTCTATTTTGTTTTGTTGTTTTCTTTTTAATGTAATTCTTATTCTCATCATGAGACGTGAATAATCACAATAAACAGCAGAATAAAAACACATAGAAAATAACACTAGGTTCGTCGCTGTTATATGTGACTGATATTTATCGTTTTGTTGTTTTTTTTTTCTATTTCTTCTAGAATTTTTGAAATTGTTTCTTTGAACCAGATGATTTAGTAACCTTAAGTGCATTAAATCGAACTGTTTTACTCAATGGGCGGCATTCGCCGATTGTAACAACATCACCGATTTGTACATCACTAAAAAGGAAAACTTAATAAAAAAAAAAGAAATTTCATTTAACAAATCTTTCATACCGAAAACATGGACTTAGATGTACTGACATATTCTTATGTCGTTTTTCAAAACGATTATATTTTCGTATATAGTGTAAATAATCTCGACGGATAACAATTGTTCGTGTCATTTTAAGTTTTAAAACTGTACCAGTAAGAATACGACCACGAATACTAACATTGCCTGTATATGGACATTTTTTGTCAATATATGTACCTTCAATAGCCTAGATGAAAAGAAAATTGAACATTCGATTAAAAACAAAAAACAAAGTAATAATTTTGTTTATTTACTTCTCGTGGTGTCTTGAAACCTAAACCAACGTTACGTGTATAACGTTGAGTACGATCTTTTTTACTAGCTTTAGTTGAGCTTAGTATTTTATTTAAAAAGATGGTTGGTTGTTTTTGAAATGAACGTTCCTAAGAGAGAGAGAGAGAAACAACAAGAATTTACGTCCGTTTTTTTTCTTTTTTTTTGTTAATCATACGTGTTCCATTATTGGTCGATGATGATGGATAACAACGACGAAAAAGGTCTGAAAAAGAGAAAAAAATTCATTAGATTTAATAAAATTTACCGCTGAATCAGATTAATATAGTCATCTGACTAACTCAATGATTGATTCGATATAGTCGTTTTGACCTAACCAATCGTCAGCCATAAAGAACTTGATAAAACCTTCATTCGCAATCAAGGAAAAAACCAAGAAGAAAAAAAACATTTTTTATTTTTCTAAAATAATTGAAGATATATTTATTTCTATATCAATAATCTAAAAAGAAGAATAAGTTATTCATGATACATTTAGTCATAAGATGTCGCTTTCGATCAATCACATAAAATACAAAGAAATTCTAGCGAAAATGAATTATAGTCATCCTAGTCGAACTTCGTCAGCAAAAAATCTATATGATGTGTGAACATATCTTGAGTAGTAGTGGAATCAGGCAGGCTAAGCTACCTCCATATACATCTTTGAAATCTTGCTAGCCAGAAATCTAGGCTTCGCCACTGATCTTGATGTTTGGACATGCCGAAAATATGAAAACAAAAATTTGACTCCGGCATCAATTTTTAATAGAAAACAATTATTATGTATGTGCGATTAATATAATATATCTTGCCATCCATTACAAGCGAGGTTACCAGCTGCTCTAGGCAGAACAGTAAAAACAAAAAAAAACGTGGAAGATGTTTTTTGTTGACTGTTCGCAAGCTATGGGTAAAAATAACTTGTTACTTCTTTCTATCGTACTTTTTTATTCTCAAAGTTTCAAAACATAATAAATAATGCATAAAGAAGATGAGTATTTTATTAAGCAGATCATTTTTTAAATGTAATTACATTTAGTGTTTGAGTAGTAGTCGATAAGCAATTTCTTTTTCAGACAACAGATGCTCATGCTATAATGAATTATGTCAATGTATTCGTATTTCTGCAATTATTGAGTCTATTCACATTGCATTGCAAGAGTCATTGGGCAAATGTTTCATTTCCAAAAAACCAACACGTTCTACATTAGTATTGCTTGCTGGAAGAAAAACAGAATGAGTCAGATAGGTAATAATAGACTGTAGACAACAGCTAACACATTTTATTGTCTGAAATTTTTCAATAAAAGATAAATCAAAAACTTCCCCATGTAAAAGAGCGGATGAGGTGGCAACTCTAATTACGGATCAACTTCCTTTCCGGAGTAATGCTAAATGATTGGAAAATGTTATTTTGTAACGCTTATCGATTAGATTTTTTTATAATAACGATTCGATAAAGACGTTTATTGTTCTAGACTATTATAATAGCTGTATATTATCTAGGTAGCAAAAAAAGTTAGATTAAGTATTGGTCATGACCATTATAGGCTGTATGTGAATAATATACAAATGTTCATGGAAATATTTGCATTAACGAGTTCAATAGTTATAAGTCATTATGCAGCTAATATTTAGAGGTTTGTAGTTTCTAGTATGATGAATTTTGTTTCAATCTTGAAAATGTATGGAAAATAATTATTAAAGAAAAATTTTTAGAAAGTCAAGTATTAATTCACGAGATCTATTTATTTGTCATGATTTCAAGATAATTCAACAAAGTACATTCAAATCATTTGTATACAATCAATCAAATAAATTTCAATGCGTCGTTTCATTATTATTTGTGTGACCACCACGTGAAGGTTTTATGTTCGTTCGTAAAAATTCTCTAAAGAATCTTTTAGCTTTTTTATCATCTAATAAATATTGTCCAGCTGGAAATACATCACAATTTCTATCTAATCGATGTGGTAGAAAGAAAACTTTGTTTGTACTATCATTTTCATTCTCAAAAGGACCTTGAAGTTGTTCAATACTATCAATATGTTCCAATGTACATTCCAATAGTAATTCATGTATAATTGTACGAACACGTGCAAATACTTGTTGATCTTGTTTTGTAATTTTTGATGATTCATCAATCGTATCGCTTGTTGATATATAACGACGAATAGACAGATTTTGTAATGGTTGTTGAAGCAACGTTAATATAGAGTTTTCTTTTGAAGATACAAGTGATCTTGGATACCAACGAAGTGTACCAAATGGAAGTAAAACTTCATTTTCTTGTGATAAATGTATACATGGAAGTAGTGTAACATGACATGTAAATTTTTCTGCTAATGAAGGAATGATTAAGTCAAAATAAATAAGATGTTCAAAAAAATCAAAACGTATCAAATCAGAAGATACACTGTAAAGTGTTTCAAAAAATAAATCTCGCATACCACGTCCATTTAAATAACAAGATTTTTTTCTATCAACATTTGATATTAGAAGACGATCTTGTTCAGCACGAGACCATCGTGTTAAACGATCAAGATATTTTATTTTACAACATATTGATGATAAATCTCTTTCAATTTTAATTTTACCAGAATTTTTCCATACAATATAAAAATCAAAATAAAATTCTCTATTTTCATTGACGAAATAAGATGATAAATTAGATGAAGGTGGTGCAAGTAATTCAAAATTAAATGATGAATTATATTTATATACACGTTCAACTAATTCTTGTAAACATCGTTCAACTTTTGGAGATACTAAACGATGACGTTCTAAATAATTTTGTAGTCGCTGTTCTTCTTGTGATAAAGGCAATGGAGGATCAGTTGTTTTACGAAGATTTTGCCATTTATTAACTATCACTCCTACATTACTCATAGCAACCATCGTTGACGAACGTTGAGCCATTTGTATTTTTATAAATAATAAAATGTAGAAAAAAGAAGAAAAGTAATAGCAGTAACCAACTTAAATCAATAAAATCTGTTTTTGTTCTGTTTATATATAAACAGAAAAGAAAAGAGAAACACTCATAAAATACTTGACATTGCATTGTTTTCAATAAGAAATTTTTCTATTTTATTAAAAATAAGACTTTCATCTGCTCTTTAATTTTTTTTCTGATTTTCACAACAGATAAAAAAAATTAAGATTTGTATGTAGAAATATTTTTTTCAATTTTATTAAACAAAATTCTCAATATTCTTGTATTTGCTTTCTTTTTTTTTTTGAAAGTTTTTAATTAATAGATGTACTAGTCGTAGATCATTCTAAGTTAATACTTGTAACAGCAGGTGTTAATGAGTATAACCCAATCCTAGGCAACTTAGTAGTTTCAGATGAAATATCTAAAGATGTGGAGAACAATGCTAATAAGATGATCGGCTTTCTTATAATATAATTCATTTGTTTATGATACCAATATATAGTAGCAATAATCAAAAAAAATAATTGTCTATGAAAATAAATATATTGATATAAATTTAAAATAATAAAGTCACTTACGAGAATAACAATTGTATTCGTTAAAATCTTCTTTATAGTATTTCTTTCCTATTTATATGTGGACAATGGTTTATTTTCTTTTCTCAATACTTTTATCTAGACAAACTTGAATATTCTAAATAATAAGAGCAATCATCAACATTTAGATTACTGTTAACAATCATAGGAAAGAACAATAATAGCATGTTTAAAACAGACA